ATGTTTTATTTATAAAACTAGATATATAACGCTCGCTTGTAACTGTATTTCAATTGAAATATGATTTTATATTACTGGAGTAACAGTAAACCTAAATTATGTGTTTGGTATTAAATTGCTTTAGTGATTAAATTAAATTATTTGTTTTATCGTATTAATAACCCTCTCTTAAAATTAACGTTTTTTGAAGCCTCTTTTCGTTGAGGCTGTTGTAGTCTTCCGATTTTGATGTGGTTTTGTATTTCGGGATTTTTAGGGTCGCTGATCTCGAATCTGGTTTCAAAAATAGCAAATTCAAAATGGCTGAACCAATTTGGCGGACGGAAATGTTAAAAGTCTTCTGATTACAGGAAAATGAAGCATTAGAAAGTTTTCGGGGTTGTTGATGCCGAATCTGATTTTAGAATTTGAAAATTCAAACGGCTGAATCAATATTGCGGACGGAAGTGCTCAAAATTCTCAGATTGTAGTGAAATTTAGCAATCAAGGGTTTTCAGGGTCGTTAATTTCTGTTGAAATGTAGATTTTGGGGGTCACCGATTTCGAGGACAAATGTTCGCGAATGAGAACCATACAAAATAATAAATCTAAGCCTAACTAAAATAGAGACGAAAGAAGAATACAGCTTTTACAACCGTAAACAAAAGAAAGGGTAATTTCAAATTGTATAGAATTGATTGATTTTAAAGTACATTGATTAGGTTTAAAAATAAAAAGAAAAAATAAATATTTTATACGTGTATTCAAAACTTGAATAAGTATCTAAAATAATATAAAGAATAAGAGTCAACGAGTAATAAATAAGAAAAGTTTATGAAATTCAAGATAAAATCAGGGTCATGTGAGGTCAGCGCGCGTGTAGCGCGCGCATAAAATGGGCTAGTAAATAAAATAGTATAGAACAAAGCCTATCGCTATTTTAAAATATCATGTCTCTGGTATCAATCAGTACAAAAATTTATAAATGCATTTCGAGATACATATTAAATTTTAGACTTGTTAAACTATTAATGAATTCATTAAGATATTAATTATTGCTGAATGTTGAAAAGATGGTTCTGAAATGTTAAAGGTATATCGTAATTAAATATTACTGTAATGCATATTAGATATCTTATCATACTAACAGCTGAACGAATAGTAATGTTGGCATAATGTTAAACAATAATTTTAAAAAAAGACCGTATAATATATAAGAAATAATATAATTAAGAAATAAAATAGATTTTAAATTATAAAATTCTGTGTAAAATCTTACATAAAGGCTTGGAAAATTTTTTACTAACTACATATTGTAAAAATACGTTTTATATGTATAATTGACATTTATACAATTAAAATAAATATAACTTAGGTTTATTTATACATTTTAATCTAAAAATCTTATAAGTAAATTATATGAACTTGTTTTACGACGTCAAATAGCTTCATTACATTTACCATTTATTACGAGTTTATGTATTTTTGTTGATTTTAATTTTTCTGGGACCAATTTTATCTCAAAAGTGAAAAATTGATTCGGGAAATCATCCCTTTTTAACATTCTCTTTCTGCAAAATTAAATATTTTAAAATTTTTTTAACAAATAACAGAATTTCTGCAAAAAAGTAATTCCAAATTAAATATATTTATATAGCCTGGTTATTATTCCAAAATCTTAATTTAATTCTAAAATAATCATTATATATTAATGAATCTTTTATATCTCAAAAATAATGGTATCAGATTTTTCTCACTATTGCATTTCTTAATAAACTTTCTTACTATTTACATCTATTGTTTGGCTCTATAATATATTTTTGTACACAATTAAAAAATTCTTTTGTTGTATCATCACATTGTATCGACTAATAAAGCTGATATAGACTATTTTTCAGAAAAATTCATTTAGAAATTCAAGATATCGAATATTGTTGCACACGACTGATACGACTGATAAGAGTTAATATATTTTCATAATTATCAATTTCATATTATGACGTTCAGTTCAACATACAGTAACAGCACAACATACGGTATTACTCATTTTTATTTCTTTCTTGCCTCGTTTGCCTCTCATTTCCTTCAGTATGATAAGTCGATCGTGGGGAGGCAGATAATATTTCTTCGTCTGAAGAAAACCCGACAGTCCACTAGTGAAATCGGTCACGTAAACATCAGTGAATTACGACCGATTGACGGCGATGTAACTGGCAGTTGCTCAGTTTGCGCGAATGAAATACCTATTATGTGCGCGCGAAAATTACAAATCTTCAGCTGCAGAGTGTCAACATTGCAACGTTGCATTTCTTGTTAAAACATCATGAGATATACCGTCAATGAAATAGCGTTCCAACATTTCCAGAAATAGACCGACTGCAATCTATTGCATTCAGAAAGGAACAACAATAGGCGTAAGATAATTCAATTTAAATCTGTAAATTATCATGATTTTTAAAGATGTAATAAATTATTTTATGTAGGGTATTTAGTATATATTGTAGAATACCAAAGATAATGTTTCGTGACAAAAATATGCTATGTCAAAAGACGAAATCAACCCGTTTAATTAATTTTTAATTGAGTAAATTAAGTTTAAACACTAATTATAAAATCATATGAGAAATTCTACGTAAAACATTGTATATTTAAAACATCAAACAATATGGTACTATCTTCCGCAAGCATATATATATGTACATATAATGACGTAGTGTTTATGTGAAGCGATAGATTTATACTTGAACTGACGAAGAGATTGAAAATAATATAAATTTAATTTTGTCAAGTAAGCATAACTAGTGGAATAGTTAGGCAAATATAAATCTGCAAATATAAATTATATAAATTTTTATAGTAATCAGCAAAATAGAAGCATTATCTAGACTTCGTATCGAGTGTACTTCGATCTGCATGCATGTTATAATGAAGTATGCGAAATATAATGCAACGTAATGTATGATAATTAATAACATCATGTTAACAGTATTTTGAACGTGTGATATTATTTTTATCGAGACACAAAGAGGCAATAAGTTTCAATATATAGTAAAGGAGCATTGATTTATTTATTAAAAAAATTTTTTTTTAATAAAACGTACTTACATGTTGAATTATGTCAACATAAACATGAAACATGAATATGTAAACATATATATGTATATTTATGTATACGTGTAAGTGAAAAATCATTTAAATTCATTTAATC